CACTTGGCATTCAACAGGAGACGCACACTGGAGGAGGAGGGGAGGGGAGCAGGGACGAGGCAACAGCTCCCTCGAACGTTCTCCATCTGCCAGCTAAGTTCCCTCAACCCCTTGCCTGCCTCGCCATGTCTTGTGTACTTTGCTTGCATTTCGTGTTTGCATAGCTTTCGCACCTTCCTCTTGAAACAATGCCACTGGTTGGGACCGGCTCACATGCTGCAGACCCCCTTACTTCAGGTAACCCTCTCAGGTGCAGGTACCCCCTCAGGTGCAGGTGTGCAGGTACCCCCTCAGGTGCAGCCCTTGGGTCTGCAGTTTGTGACTTGGCCTCCACCAGTGGCCCCTCCCCTCTCCCGCCTTGCAAATGCCGTTCCCTCTCTTGCACTTTCACCATTCATCCCCTCGCTGCCCACTGACCAGCTCTGCGTGTGTGCCTTGCAGGTGGAGGGGAGGGGCGGGGGTCAACACCGACGCTTCCCCACGCCCCTCCCCTGTGGCCGTGCAGGGACCTTTGGGGAGGGGAGGGAGGCAGCACTGCCAATCGCTGCACCAAGGGAGAGTATCGGGGTGGGCTTGGCCTCTCAAGGTACGTCACCTCTCCTCTTGCCCTCATCACTCTCCCTTTTGTGCTCCTCAATTTCGCCTTCTCATTTATTTTAGCTGCAGCTGTTGTTGTTTTTCCTGGTCGTGCCAACTCAACTGCTGTTGCTTCCCCCCCTGTCTGCTGCCCCTACCAGGTCACTTGGCATTCAACAGGAGACGCACACTGGAGGAGGAGGGGAGGGGAGCAGGGACGAGGCAACAGCTCCCTTTAACGTTCTCCATCTGCCAGCTAAGTTCCCTCAACCCCTTGCCTGCCTCGCCATGTCTTGTGTACTTTGCTTGCATCTCGTGTTTGCATGCGCTTTCGCACCTTCCTCTTGAAACAGCGCCACTGGTTGGGACCGGCTCACATGCTGCAGACCCCCTTACTTCAGGTAACCCTCTCAGGTGCAGGTACCCCTCAGGTGCAGGTGTGCAGGTACCCCCTCAGGTGCAGCCCTTGGGTCTGCAGTTTGTGACTTGGCCTCCACCAGTGGCCCCTCCCCTCTCCCGCCTTGCAAATGCCGTTCCCTCTCTTGCACTTTCACCATTCATCCCCTCGCTGCCCACTGACCAGCTCTGCGTGTGTGCCTTGCAGGTGGAGGGGAGGGGCGGGGGTCAACACCGACGCTTCCCCACGCCCCTCCCCTGTGGCCGTGCAGGTACCCGTGGGGATGGGAGGGAGGCAGCACTGCCAATCGCTGCACCAAGGGAGAGTATCGGGGTGGGCTTGGCCTCTCAAGGTAGGTCACCACGCCTCTTGCCCTCATCGCACTCCCTTTCTGCTCTTCAGTTCTGCCTTCGCGTTTCCGTCAGCTGCAGTTTTATTTTCTCTTTATCTGGTCGTGCCAACTCATTTACTTTCACTTCCCCCTTTCTTCCCCCCCACCAGGTCACTTGGCATGGAGTGAAGACTGTAGCAGAGAAGCTGAGTAGCAGACCGGCAGCAGCAGTTGCAGCAGCAGAAGCAGTGGGGGTGGGGGGCTAGGGGCAGACTAGGTTAGGTCGAGTCGTGAGTGAGGTATGGTATCAGGTGAGGTATGGTACCAGGTATGTTGTCTGATTCCCTCCTCTCTCTTTCTCCCCCCCCTCCCCTTCTATCAGCCTAAAGGAGGGAGGGAGCACTGGAGCAAGGGCGAAACAGAGGCATTCCTTCTCTAATCTCCCCCCCCCTCCCTCTCTTCCTCCTCCTCCCACTTCCCAACAGCCTGAGGCATCATGGCGCTCTGAACGGCTATGGTAGGTACAGGTAAGGAGGTATGGAGTGAAGGGATGGGGGTGGGTGGGGAGCATGGGAGCAAGTGGTCAGCTCACTGCCTTAGGGGCAGCACCCTCTGGGGTTGTGCCTTGTGGGTCGGGGTGTGGTGGGTGGAATCTGCGCGGCACGGCACTCGGTGCTCAAGTAACCGATCTGGCGTTCAAGGCCTAATGGACACCGTCAGAGCCGACCGGCCGGCGGCTCTGGTTCGCGTCAGCTCTGGCTACGTCAGGGGTGGGATTTGAGTCTTGGGCTGGAAGCAATTTTCCACTACCGCACCTCGCCCTGCAAGGCACAGCCTTTGGGTGTGCTGCCTCCGAAAGGAATTGGGCTGTCTGCTGCTCCTACTGCTGGCAGGTGAAGGTTGGGAAGGGGCTGGGTGCTTGGGAAAGGGGCGGTGATATGTGGTGGGTGGTGTGATATTGTGTGGTATGATACAGTGTGTGCATGATACAGTGTGGTATGATACAGTGTGGTATGATACGGTGTGGTATGATACCGTGTGGTATGATACAGTGTGGTGTGATACAGTGTGGTATGCCTCAGTGTGGTATGATACAGTGTGGTATGATGGAGTGTTGTCTGATACGGTGTGCCATGGTATAGTGTGGTCTGGTACAGTGTGGTATGAAACAATGGGGTATGATATAGCGGGGAATGACATAGTGTTGCATGAACCAGGGTGGTATGATGGAGTTTTGTTTTTTTTTTCTGTGCGGTATCATCCAGTCACGTACTATACAGTGTGGTATGATAGAGGGTGGTATGATTGAGTGTGAAATGATATAGTGTGGTCTGATTCAGTCTGGTACTATACAGTGTGGTATGGTACAGTGGGGTATGATACATTGTGGTGTGATGCAGTGTGGTATGATACAGTGGTATGATACAGTGTGTATGATACAGTGTGATATGATAAAGTTTGTTGTGATAGAGTGTGGTGTGCTATAGTGTGGTCTGGTACAGTGTGGTATGAAGGAGGGTGGTATGATGGAGTGGTATATTCAGTGCGGTATGTATGATACAGTCTGGTACTATACATTGTGGTATGGTACAGTGGGGAATGATACAGAGTGGTATGATACAGTGTGGTATGATACAGAGTGGTATGATACAAAGTGGTATGATACAGAGTGGTATGATACAGTGTGATATGATAGAGTGTTGTCTGATACAGTGTGGTCTGGTATAGTGGGGTATGATATAGCGTGGTACGATATGGTGTGGTATGAAAGAGGGTGGTATGATGGAGTGTGGTATAGTCAGTGTGGTATGTATGATACAGTCTGGTACTATACATTGTGGTATGGTACAGTGGGGAATGATACAGTGTTATATGATAGAGTGTGGTCTGATACAGTGTGGTATGAAGTAGTGTGGTATGAAACTGTGGGGTGGCGTGGTATGATCTAGTGTGGTAAGAAAAGGGGTGGTATGATACAGTCTGGTACTATACAATGTGGTATGGTACAGTGGGGTATGATACATTGTTGTAAGATGCGGTGTGGTAGATACTGTGTGATGGCGTATCATGGTGTGTCATGGCATGGTGTGGCATGTCACGGTGTAACAAACACTCATGGTGTGGCATGGTATGATGTGGCATGGTATGGTGTGGCATGTTTTTCTTTTGCATGTCATGGAGTGGCATCTCATTTTTTTTTGCATGGCATGGCATGTCATGGCGTGGCATGGTGTGACATGTCATGAGGTGGGATGGCGTGGTCTGGCATGGCTGGTGTGGCATGTCATGAGTTGGCATGGCGTGGCATGGCGTGGCATGGCATGGTGCAGGCTGGCAGCAGCTGGAGGGAAGAGAAGAGAAGAGAAGAGAAGAGAAGGCAAGGAGGACATTGTTTGAGGGAAGATGATGGATGCAGAGTGTAGGTGTATGGCATGTAGCAACCATGCCGTCACACTGCCGTACTATTTCTTCAACTTGTGAAATGGGATCGGAGTCTGCTCAGAGCTCAGTCTGTTTTTAGGTAGAACAATGTAGATACCTTATGCGCCCCATGTACGGTACTGTAGCTCTGACATTCAAATATTACCGTAGTATGTGTCTTATGTAGCCATTGTAATTTTCACTACAGTGAATATTGGTGCCAATGCTCCAGTCTAACAGCCATTATTTACAATATGGTACCAATTATACTCCTGGTCCACACAGTAATGTTGAAATGTATTTATGCCGCTAGTATGTCATACATTGCAGAAAATGGTGCCAGTTGGAGTGGCATGTATTCAATTCAACGTTGTACGGTACCATCATCCAGGCTATCACAAGATACTAGCATGTAAACTTGGAATAACCTACCGTATTCCCCCGGATATACCACCCTAGGGTGCTATGATAACTACACAAAAAAAAAAGGGGGGGGGGGGGGGGGGGGGGGGGGGGGGGGGGGGGGGGGGTCTTGTCATCGGAAAAAGCTACATTGCACCCGGGTCTTTACATAATGTATATTTTTTTTATAGCGTAAAACGTTTAGTACTAGATGTACATCTGTGCCGTGGTGGTAGATTGCTGGTTGGGTGCGCAAAACTGAGGACTGGCGCAGCCCCCGCAACAGCCTCGGTTGCCTCGCTGGGCGGGCACGTCATTGAACTGTGAAGGAGTTGATCATTGCACTTGTAGATGGATTATCATTGGAAACCCTGTGCTACTTAAGCAAAAACTGCAATTTTACCCGTACATAACACCCCCCCCCCCCGGGTGCTATATAGGATGCCCCCAAAAAGGGGGGTATAGTAGAAACGAGGCCCGCTATAGCACCCCCCCCGCACAAGCCACCCGGGGGGTGCTCTATTTCGGGGGGTGGTATGTCCGGGGGAATACGGTACTGGTACAAGGTACCAGGAGTGCACAGGGGGTCCATGTGCCATGCCATTCCATATTGGCATGTGCATGCACTGCATGGCAGCTACCTACAGCTACTACCTACCAAGTGACTGGAGAACAGTCAAACTAACAGAAGATGAACCTAATTCTGGTGTAGTACCAGAGCCGTCTTTGACTGTAACCAACCAAGAAAGCAACACCAACATGCCTCCTTTCCTCTTCCACCCTGCACCCAACCTCAAACTTCAAGCCCTTTCTCCCCCAACCCAACTCTCACCCGCTCTTAATCCCCACCCTCCACCCTCTTTCCCAACTCCCTCACCCCGAGAACCCCCTGCGGTACTTGCCCTTCCCCACCACGCCCCACGGCAAGCGCCCTGAGAAAAGCTGTGAGGAGCAAGTGGTAAAAAGCGCAGCCATCTCTTTACACCCATTAGGATACGGCACCACACGCACAAACGGGTCTCTCAGCCGTCTCTTCTGCCCCAGCGCCCCCCCACACCCGTACGGCTCCTTTTCGAATGCTGCGAGCGTGCGCGCCTCCCCTTTGGCAGCGGATTCGCGGGCTGACTCGGCGATGGGCGAGCCGAGGAAGGAGAAGCGGTCGGAGGGGAAGCGCAGCGCCCCGCGGTGCATCTGAGAGAACCGGAACTTCTTAAAATCGTAGCTCACCACCTGGGGAGTTGGGGGGTTGGAGGAGGGGGAAGAAGGGTTGAGAGGAGGAGAGGAAGGGGAGTTGGGGCTGAGAGGAGGGGAGGTCGTGAGGAGTGGAGGGGAGAGGGAGAAGAGGAGGAGAAGGGTGAGAATCAGTTCATGTGGGAGTGAGGAACCGAGGAACGATGTGAACAGGGAATTGTGTTGAGAACTGCTGACAGCGAACAATACATTGACATGAGAGCCCTAAGCACAGCACCATGCACGTACTGTGATGTTGTTGGGATATGTCCCTGTGAGTTGGCGGAAGCGGCACACGCTGAACAGCAGGTTCTCAAAGCTGTCCCTCGCATACTCCTCTGTCAGCGCCCTCCCCCTCACCTCCGTGTGCCCTGTTCACATGCCATGCGATCAGAGGCAGCACGGGGTAGGGTAAGGCTGGAGAAGGGGATGAGGGGAACAAGGACCAAATTCATCGCATTTACCACCCGACCTCCTGTTCACTTCACCACTTCCCAACCTTTCCATCCACTTAATTCCTCTCTCCTTTCCCCAATTTCTCTCTGGTCAAGCCCCCCAATCTCCTCACCGAACCAGCTCAGCTTCTCCGCAGCGTTCCAGTAGCTCTGCGCCTCGCTCCGTGGCCCCGCATCTCTGCGCGTCTCCCCGCCGCTGAACAGCAGCAGCGCGCTGCTATCCTCCGCCGCGGCCGTCACTCCGAGCCGTATATGCTCCACGAACGACGACGCGGCGCCCGAATTCAGCTGGTACGGCTCGAGATGCCATGACGGGTCCGCATCTAGCGGCGCGCATGTTGGACTGGTGTACACGGAGTGACCGGCGACGAGGATCAGATTGGTGAGCGGAGCGAAAGGGAACGGGGACAAAGGGTCCACCGCTGCTCCCTGCTGCTGCTGCGCGTCCGACGCTGCTGCGCCGTCGATGGTGGAATCGGCAGTGGAGCGGGTGAATCGGAATCGCGAGAGGGGGATGAGAGCGTGCGTAAAGTGCGTGAGCGACGCGAGGCCGATGACGACCAGCAGAGCTAAGACGAGGAAGGGGTAGAAGAAGCGCGGGGACGGGGTGATGAGGGAGGAGACGAAGGAGAGGACGGGCGACGAGGGGAGGTTACTATGCGAGTAGTGCGCGTGGCGCCCGTGGTGCGTGGAGTGGTACAGATGGTGGAAGGTGCGGCGGCTGCGGTGCGGATGGCCTTGCGGGGACATTGAGGGCAGCATCGTGACTCCTGGCGCTGGAGTGCGGACGGCTTGGATTGGATTGTCTCGGATTCGCGCAAATTAGGTCGAATTGGATCAAACCATACGAATTTCCTGGCGTCTTACTCCGACGGACACGCCAGTGAGGAGATAAAACCTTCGCGTCAACGAAAGACGCTTTCATGAATGAGTTGACTCTGGCACATCACTAGTAGTACATCATAAGCGTGACGATTGACGTCGCTTATAATTGTTAGGCTCGAGGCTATCGTTTATAGCTATTCCGACTTCTCGACCCCATTAAATCACAGAACAATACCCGCGTCTCTTTCTCGAACGGCCTCATGTCGCGGCGAAAGTTGCACACGATCCTCCTAAGCTCCAAGCATCGCAATCTCCCGCAAATGATCAATGCTCGTGGAGTTAAATATTGAAGTGGAGAGCTAGCGTGCGTCAACGGCCCGATTCCGGACAGCGAGGTCCTAGATCAAGAAGCGTGGAAAGGCGTTGCGAGATCGGACAGAAATAGCTCAGATTCGAACAGAGCAATGCGAATTCCGCCAAGTGAATTGTGAGGCAAGTTGTTGTGAGGCAACGATCAAGCACAAAACAATCGTCAGTGGTGTGAGCGGGAGAGAGTTGGTGATGGCGAGGAAGGACGAGGGCGAAGAGAAGTCCACAGAATGGCCCTCAACAACCAATAATAGGACGGCCCTAAATCCAGGATGAAGCAGTGATTGGTTGAAGGAACTTTGCGGTTCGGATGAGCCTAGAAGTTGACATGCCCCCGCAGGCGTGTACTCGCTTCACGGTGACTCGCCAGATGAGTAAGCTTAAAAAGCATTTTCATATGATCGAAGCCCACGCTTCCATTTCGATGTGTGCGAGCATTGTGATGATTAGTGAACATGTTCTACTGTCGAAATCTGACTCCAAGGACCTGGGTCAATATTTGGCGCGAAAGTTTTGCACCAGGAGCTCTCAAGGGCTGCAACTAGAGAGCTGCGTCAGAGGCTCACTAACAAACATGGATTCTATCTAGTAGTGCCAGAAAGCCACCACGGTGGCTACCTCACCTCGCCTTGTAGGACACAGTAGCGTGGAGCAATCAAGAGAGCTGGAAGGTTACGTCTCCTGACGCAACGCTGTGCAGCTCACGCTCATCTTAACAATAAATAATACTTCTTGTGAATTTTTTGTCGCATTCGTAAATCTGGATCCTGCCGCACTTCCACGTTTTTCCTAGTGTTCTGGCAAAGCACTTGTTTCGATCGAGTAGGCGAGGACACACGATAGCTGCTATTGCTCCCCAATCATCCAATACAAACTGCACCGCATACTCGCTGTAGGCGACTTTGCGATGTCTTATTACAACAAGGACCGTTCCGCGCAAGGCAACGCTCGCGCTGTGGGCGGAGCCGCAGGCGGCGGGGGAGGTGGAGAAGGCAGAAAAGCATGGGGAGGGCGGCGCGGGTTGGGTCAAGGCGCGAGCGCCGGCGACGAAGAGGTGGAGACGGCG